AGAGAGAGAGAGAGAGAGAGAGAGAGAGAGAGAGAGAGAGAGAGAGAGAGAGAGAGAGAGAGAGAGAGAGAGAGAGAGAGAGGGTGAGAGAGAGGGATGTGAAGAGGGAAGCCATAGCCGCTACCTGGTCGAGACATGCTGTGTGTATGTGTGTGCGGTAGAGCCGCTGGTGACAAACATTCCTGTCTATTGGCAATAATATTGGTGACGACATCTTCGAGTGTGGATTGTATCTCGGTTTGGCTTCTCATGTTTGAACTCTCATGTGGATGTTTGTTGGTGTGTGCAAGTTGACCCTGATGAGTACTTGGATCCTTTCAGATATCCACCTATGTTTATATTTGGCACCAGCAGTTCATCATATATAGTGATGTGTCTGCTTTTTTCTGCATTTGCTTTGCAAAGTTCGCTCCTTTGATTGACAAATATGTGATCATACATAGTGGTTTCAGCTACTGTTGGTGACTCTCTTTCAGGGACATTGGTGTGTGTTTGACTGATGTCTTCCCCCAGGCATATTGGGCGGTCACTTTTGCTGTATCTGTACAGCAAATTTTGGGCCAGAGACAGCAACAATAGCCATGCCTTCCGTTTGGGGGAAGACGGTGGTCGGCACGGTGGTTGACAAACAGAAGGCAAAAATAGGTTTTCATTAGAGTGGCTAATCGTGGTATTGTTTCTTTTGCTTGTTCTCTGCCTCTGGAACATTTGCTGCTGTAACAGGCGCTCTTTCGACCTGTGTCCATGGTGGTCCCTGATTTCCACTTGATTGCAGAGATCATGCTGCTCAGCGAGGGATTCCAAACCAGCAAGCTGCTGTCCCGAAAGTTCATTATCCTTTACTCGCTATGCCAAGACCTGCTGTCCAAGCAGCACCACTACGATTGGAAGCTCAGAGCCATCAAGACTACACTCAATGTTGCAGGGGGAATGAAGCGTGATGCACTCAATGTCACAGAAGACAAGGTGACATATCGATATTGAGCATCATGCCTTCACATATCAGTAGGCCGAAGGGCTCGCAGTCATTCCATTGCTAGTGTGGCACAGCTTTGGGACTACTAGACAGTGCCAGTTAGATGATCAGTTGGGGACTACTAGATAGTGTTAACATGACAAGTAGAAGCAAAATGAAAGTGCTCTCAGTCTCACAAGCAAAGGACATGAGTGTGAATGATTGAAAGCATTCTCCACTCAAAAGTACAGTACAATGATTGAAATTCATGATTGAATACATATACCAGGAGGAGATACACAGCAAATTTTTTTTTATTTTTTATTTTTATTTTTTTTAAGCAGAATTTATATGGTTCTGGCTCCTTTTCCATTCTGGGGAGCATCAGTCCGGTTCCTATTCCACCGGCAAGTCAAAAGGAGATGCATATAGGACTCACACACGCTCTTCCCCTTTAAGGTAGGAAAGCCCGAGGGACGGCATTGATTACTTCTTGTTAGAAGGATTTACCACCCCTCACCCATGCCTAAGTTGCCCTGATTACTTTTATTTTGAATCTAAGACATGGAAACGAAACCAGTACTGTGAACCCTGTAGACTTGCCTACGGGAGGCCGCATCTAACCTGTTCCTCTCAGTTCTTAGACTGTCAGATTCCCTTTAAATACGAGAACTGTAGATGTGATCCTCCTCTTTAGGACTTCATAAACCCTAAACCCTTTCAGGTCTAGTTGATATTACCTATGGATTCGCTTAACCTCTATCCTTCCGGTATTATCTTCCCTTTTCTATAAAATCATCCTGGTGCTAAAACTTAAACCCCAGCTATTTTAGCTGTCCTGCTTACCCTTACTTGAAAATCCTTCTTATGGTCTATATCTCGTAACCTAAGTTATTCCTGTGTTAGCTGGATAGAAGAGTCTTTTTATGGGAACTATTTATGTGGTGGGACTGGTACTGTTTTACTGGCTTGGGAATAGACTGATGGGTGTTTGTAGGTCTAGGTTGTGGGGTTGGATAGTTGATGAGATCGGGTGTGCTGAGTCTTGGCTAGGGTGGTTTGGGGGTGATGGGGCTAGTAGCGTGCAGGAGGGGAGTGAAGGGTCTGGGGGGGGTTAAGGGGGGTTAGGGCTGTGTGGTTCCTTATATTGGGGATGGGGTCTGTGTTGGTTTAATGTTTGGCGAGCAGTCTGTTAGTAAAGGCCTGTAATGTGATGTCATGGGCGGCTAAGTTGTTGTGGGGGGGAAGTCGATAGTGCTTGTTGTCCGCCTTTGGTATGGAAACCTGTGATGCTTTAGCTGGAATTGATCTGGATGCTCAAAGAGTCTGGTGGGCTGAACACTGGTCCTGAGTTTGGAATAGTGGTTTGTGTTGTGTCGTTCCACATTGTAAAGATTAGGCCCTGGCCTTTGACGGTTGCTATCTTGCCTTTGGCAAGGTACACAGTAAAGGTTGATAAGGGAAAGGTTGTGATTATTCCTAGTTTCGCACAGACATTCCTGATAGTTCATAGCTGAAGACTGAGGAAGGAAAAATAACAAAATAAAATAACCCCAGAACCAAAACCGGTCATCTCTCCAGGTCAGTCAGCTTTCGAAACAAGAAGACACAGGTTAGGAACTTAGAACCATCAAAAGGCCCAGACGAGAGTAAAACACAGGCCAGAAGCAAGGCAGACAAAGACGGAGAAGATCAAGGTAGTGTAGAATACTAGAATTAGAACTAGGAATTTAGACCAACAGGATAAACAGATTTTGACCTGGCAGCTGGCAGTCGATCCTCTATGGAAATAGAAACAGAGCAATCAATGCTGTCCAGGGATCCTCCAGCCAATGGGAGGATGCGTGAGTGCATACAGTTGATGTATTTCTCTGACTTGCCAGTGGAAAAGCAACCGGACTGACGCTCCCCAGAATGGAAAGGATCCAGGATCATAAGATCCTTTTTTTTTTTCTTTTTTTTTTTAAACAGGTCCTTGTGGTCCTGGCCCCATTTCCATTCTGGGGAACATCAGTCCGGTTCCTATTCCACCGGCAAGTCATGAGAATATTGCATCATAGAACTCACCCACGCTTCCTTCTGTCTGGCCGAAGGAACCCCGATCAGCATTGATTACTCCAACAACGAGGAGGATTGACTGTCAGCTTGCCCTGTTTACACCTTTCCTCTCAGGATTACTATAATAACCTGTCAGATAAAACGTGTAGAGCAAGAAAGGTCTACGAAGCAACATCTGCCACCAATGCTGTCAAAACCCTAAGCCCTACAGGTAGGCATTGTGAACTCTTTTGAATTTTAGCCCCTGCTTGTCTTGTTTATGTCCCAACCCTCAGCCTTAAACCCTAAACCCTAAAGAAGATTAATCCGTTTCCATGTGTTCCATGTGAAGCACCAGCTTCCACCTGTCGCGCGTGTATTTCTTCGAGGCACAAACTAGAGCTGGTTCCTCAATTACCTGGGTCTTCGGCTGGAAAGGTTCCTGATCGGTAATGAGGATTGGAGGATTGACTGTCAGCTTGACTATCCCTGAGTCCCTTCTCAAATCCCCTCTCTGATCCTCTGCGGGGAATCAGTTAGTACAACGATAAAACAAGGAAAGCACAGATCAGAACTGATATAACATTGGATCATGTCATGTTGCTCTGAAGTCTTGCTGTTGGTCATAATGTAAGTTATGTGTCCCCTGGACAGCCACCGAGTTATGCCAGTCTTGCCATCTGATTTGCGATCCGTGAATCTCCGCGATCTTTCCGTGGGCCAGCCAAATTTTCTTGAACTTTGATATTAGCTCTTGCTGCTTCTCCGGGTCCTGTTGGATTTGGAGTGTGACTTTCTTCCACTGGCATCAGATCTCCGTCTCCATTAAAGGTTTCGTCATTGCCCATATCTGTTCACTCGGGTTGCTTGACTTGTCGATGGTCCTGCAGCACCTCTCCTTCCAAATGACCCAATGTGTTCCCTTCCTGATTATCCCGAACCAGATGCGTTCAGATTTAGTAAACTGGGCTGGGATGTTAGTCCATAAAAGTAATTGGATCGGGTGTTTGGCAAGGGAGGAGGGAAAGAGGGAGTCCCAGAGTGTTGAGGCTCTCGCCCATAATTCAGTAGCGAATTTGCAGGTTATGAGACAATGAATTAAATGAATTAAATTTTCTTGTTCGTTGTCCGAACAGACCACGCATTGTTCTGAACTATTTGGGTCGCTATTCTTTCTACGGACGTGTAGCCAAGAGTTTACTGGGAGGGCATTATATGTGATCAGCCATTGAAGACTTCTGATCTTGACTGGGCGTATTGATTTGTATTTTGTCCAGGGCAACCCGGAGATTGGTTCCATTCTCTGTCCTAGCAGTTTCGTCCATCTTTCTTTTATTACAGGCTCTGGTCCTTTGTTTTCAGTAGTAGTCTGTATCCCATTCTGACTGTGTACTGGGTTATGTGTTGAGGGGTCTTACATGCTCTGTTACTGCCTGAGGTCCAGGCCCATTCGTCTGGGTCAAATTCTAAATCTTGAATTGCTGTATCTACTTGGAATATAGTCTTCGGCCAGGTACCCAGTGTCCTTACTTTTCGAAGAGTATATGAGTTCAGGGTCTCTTCTTGAGTATCAATGTTGTGGGTTTTGGGGTTGGTCGATCTATTGGAAAGGAGGTGAAGACTCCTGCAAAGTCTGATCCAGGAGATCTGTGATAAAATTGACAGGCTCTTTGTGGTAACGTTTCCTGGATCAGAACTCCCCCTGATTTCCAAGAGAAGTCCTCCCTTAACAGGTCCTTCCAGCTGACCGGAATGCTGTTGATTATTGTTGCCAGATTTTATCTTGGTGGTGACAGCCCTTTAGGCGTGTTCTCAGCTGTTCCTCACAGATCCAAACTTTCCCGTCTTCATCCCAAATGTGACTGACACGCCAGACCCCACGTCTGATCCAAGAGAGCCATCGATGCCCATTTGTAAGTGACAGTGGGTGCCCCCCTGCATCCCTTACACATGGGTTCCCGAACAGGGGTTGACGTAGGACTTCCTCTTTGGGCTTAGGTTTCTTGACTTTTTTTGGCATAATTTCTCTCCAAATGTGGATGAGAGTTGTCCAATAGGGGTTAGCTGGTTGCACCTCGTTAAGTGACGAGTTTGCGGGTTGTCTCCTTCTGCCCGTCTTGGGTGTCCATTCTTTGTTCATTACCCAGAATAGGCCACCCATATTGAGTGGGCTCTGGACAGGGGCTATATCTCTGATGCTATTGAGGGCCAGTTTGTGCCAAGCCAGTCTAGGCTGGGTTAGTAGCTTGACTATCCACTTGATCTGGAGGGCTTTGGTTTCCTGTTTGGGTTCGATTATTCCCAGACCCCCCTTGGATGGCCTTCTCGTTATGTAGTGCCAGTCTATCTTAGGGATGTACTTCGTTTTGTTTGGGTCGCCTGACCATAGGTATGCTCTGGCTGTACTGTTCAACTCTTTGATAGTTTGGTCTGGTATAGTCCAGATAGAGGCAATATACCACATCATTGAAAAGATGGAGGTATTGATGGCTAGGGCTCTTCCCAGCAATGAGGTGAATGTGGTACCCCATCTCCTCATTCTATTGATTTGATTGGTCAGCAGGTTTTGTGCCATTTGCGGGGCGGGGCCATCCTTGGTTACCATAATTCCCAAGTACCTCATTGGTTCCTCAGGTCTTTCCCATGTCATTTCTGCCTCAGGGCCTTCCATTCGGGGTATCTCCTCCTCTGAAAACCACCAGCTTATCGTCTTTTTCCAATTGATCTTCATTTCTGAGGCCAGCCTGAAAGCTTCCATTGCCCTGACTAGTGCCTTTATGGAGGAGTCAGATGCCCTTATGAGAACCGTGAGGTCGAAAAAGAATTAGGAATTTAGGAGTTTAGACCAACAGGATAAACAGATTTTGAAAAGGGTTACGGGGTTATCGACGAGAAATATGTAAAAAGGAAACACGGTTGGGATAGCTCGATGGAAACAGAGTCAAGGAAAACCAGTAGGGAATCGGGCAAATGTATTGGATTCCCAACTCCAGGGAGACAGAAATGGAAAGCTCTAGGGCCACAAGCATATTTGACAGGTGGTAACAGCTGAGAGGAGAAATTTTGGACTCCATTTATGATTGCAACATCAATCTCGTTGTTTTCCACTTTCTGTGGTTGCAGGTGTTGCTACGGGCCCTCAGAGATTTCAACATGGGAAAGCTAATCTATGATGATGTCGAGATATTTTTGGGGTTACTGAATGACTTGTTCCCAAAGACTCTGCAACTGGTAATCACAATCGGATATGGGTTTGCTATCTACTTTACGGGACTGCTTATCTATGCATTGTTCTGTCATTGTTCTTAGCAGGGTTTTCCTTTTCTTCTTTGCTTTTAAAAAAATAATAAAAATTTTGTCCTTCGGGACATCCGTTAAAATTGGAACGATACAGAGAAGATTAGCATGGGCCCTGCGCAAGGATGGCACGCATAAATTGAGAAATGGTCCACATTTATTAAAAAGAAAGAAAAAGAAAAAATTCTAATCCTCGAATATTCTGAACGTGGTGGCTGGTAATCTCTTCGACATGTTTTGTTGATAGGGGTATTTTACTACTTTGTGGACAATTCCACCTACAATTGCTTTCTAGTAGCCTCTGCACTAAACTGTGAGCACTGAGCTTCACATATTGTCTGTTGTGCAGGCAAAACCGAATCTGAGCACAATGTTATTCTTTGTAAGAAAAATATGGCCACCAGATTTTTATTTTTTTTCTTTTTTCTCAGGACCTCTTGGTTCTGGCTCCTACCATTCTGGGGAGTGACAGTCCGGTTCCTATTCCCCCGGCAAGTCAAAATGGAATACATGAGAAACTCACGCACACTCCTCCCCGCTATGGCTGGGAGGCCCGAGTGGACGACATTGATTACTTCCTTGGGGAAGGATGTACCACCCCTCGCCCCTGCCTAAGTTAGCCTGTGCTGCTTAAACTGCCTGGTTGTTGCCCATCTGTCTGACCTTAGTCCCGCTCCTCTCAGCCATGGCGCTGTATGGTCGGTGTGTTATGCTAGAGCGATCTGGCTCGCCTACGAGTCTTTTGAAATCTCTGAGGCCCTAAGCCCTGTTTGTCCTGTCTCTGTCTAAACCTTAAACCCTGAACCCTCAGCTGTAATGCTGCTGTGGCTTACCTGTTCCTAGGTTCTAAAAATGGAAAGCAAATGTTGTTCTTAGGCTCTAAAACCCTAAACCCTGAACGCTCTTTATCTCTCTAGCTTGGGGTGTGAGCCCTTCCTTTCTCTCCGATGACTGTTTTTACTAGTACTTTCCTCTCAATTTCCCTTTTTGAGAACACGCTCACGCTCCTCCCCCTTCTGGTGTGGAGGCCTGAGGGGCGGCATTGATTGCTTCCATCAGGAAGGATGTACCATCCCTCACCCCTGCCTAAGTTAGCCTGTGCTACTTCTCTCCTATCTTTTACTAATCGGGAATTACATTCGCTCTAGTGTTTGGGGCTTGAATTTTGTGTTCCTTCCGGTTCGTGCCTCTCAGCTCCTTGGCTGCCTGTTTTTTTTTGTGTTAGTACTGCTGATGGGGCTGCTTGTGTTAAATTCTGTTTGCGCCAAATTCTGTGAGGTTTACACTTGCTGCGGTCCTTGCTATAACCCTGGCCCTGGCTCGTCTACTTATTCTTGTAAACCGTGTCTGTGTCTGTTGACGTAGGGATTTTGGATTCCTGAGGGGGTTATGGTGGTGCTATGCAAGGTGCTAAGTTTCCTTATGAGGTTCTGTGTTTGGTACTAAGGTTGGTTCGTTGGGGTTCCTATGGTTGGGGTCTTCGGGGGGCTAGAGTCTAGTCTGTTAATCGTGAAATCAGGTAGTAGGGTGCTCCTGTTCTGGGTTGATAGGCTGACGCTGTTTTAGGGCTATCTGTTGTTTGTTTGGTTTGCTAAAACGGAGCCAATGGACATTCCTGTGACATGGGATCTACTTTGAGGCGGGTCTGAGGGCTGTGGTATGGTTAGTCTATTGTGTCTCCATTGTCCGAACTGTATTCTGTTCTGGGAGATTGTTGCTATTCTCCCTTCCCCTAGCTGCTTTTTGTTAAAAACTTCAATAATTTTGTCTCTATCGACCAGATTCTTCTCTATTTTCCTACACACTCTCTTCCAGCACCCTCTGTATTCCATCTCTAATATATTTAGGACCCCTTCCCATGTTTCCTGCACCTGACTTGACGTGCGGTCTAGCGTCTCTTGACATCTTCTTTTCCATATCATCCATAATGTTGCCAGACGTAGAATGTGAAAGAAAATGGTCTTGTGTCCCTGCCAATTGGGTGGGATGTGCAGGCCCAGTAGGAGAGTAAGAGGGTCTGTAGGGAGGGTTTTCTTTGTGATTATATGCCAGAGATCTTTTGTGTTGGACCAGAGTTGTTCTGCTTTTGGTCAGTGTATTAGGCAATGGCCCACGTCTTCTACGTGACCTTCCGGGCAGATTGCACATAGCTCTTGTAATGGGGTCCTGGCTTGAAAGTTTCTCCTCTTGTTCAACCATTGGTTGACTGGGAGAGCCAGGTGGGCGAGTAGCCACTAGAAACTTCTAATTTTGACTTGGTTGATGTTCAGAAACCCAGTCCAGGGGATGTTCGGGATACGATTTTGGGTAAGATCAAAATGTGCCTCCCATCTTTGGCCTACAATTTGGGTTATGGGCTGCGACCTTGTCCTTAGTGCGTAGCCTAGTTTGGTTGTGTATTCCAAGATGTTGGTGCGCTTTTCTATGTTGAGCCTCCCTGATTTCCTTTTCCACGCCCATTCCACCAGGTCAATCTCCAAGTCCTCGATACTGGTTTGTGAATTGTAGAATCGGTGGTCCTGCGTTTCTATTACCCTCACCTTCCTTAACGTTTGTTCATGCTAGGCCACTGCCCCTGTGGAGTTTTTGCTTAGTAGGCTTGTTGATGCGCCTGGGTCCTCGATTGTGTAAATATCGCATATGAGCCACTTGTTTCCTGTGCCTTCTCTGGTTCGAAACTGATAGGCTGTCCTCGGTGGGCTCTCCGCCTTCTCCGCTGCCCAGTCTCCTGTCTTCCACAAGTATCGGCTTCTGAGAAGTGTAAACCAGCTTTCAGGAATTGAAATTAAAATATGGTTGAGATTCTCTTGCAGGTTGTGGCAACCTTTTAGCTGTTCCCTTAGTTCTCCTGCTGTCTTCCATCTCGATTCCTCGTTGTGCCATAAGTGCTTGATCTGCCATACCCCTTTTTATACCCACGATCCCCATCTTGAGTCTTTGGCTGTTAGGGTCCAAGGTTTCCTTTGTGTGTCCAAAATCCACTGGTTGTAGAAGAGTGGTTGTCTGAGCACATCTTCCTTGGCTGTGGGTTCCCTTACTTTCGCTGGTAATATCTCTCTCCATGTTTTCAGTAGGTTTTGCCAAAAGTCATTATCGTCTGCTTCCTCTTCTTCCAGTTCTGTTGTTCTGATCGTGCCCCTCATTGCCCATGATTTAGCCATGATCCAAAACAAACCTTCCATGTTGTCCGGAGTTTTGAATTTGGCTAGTTTTTGTATCCTCTGTAAGGCTAGGTGGGTCCATGGTAAGTTATCGTACATGATCAGTTTAAGGATCCATTTGGATTGTAGTACCTTGATATGTGTTTCAGGATCAAGGATCCCTAAACCTCCCTTGGATTTTTGGTTGAGGACATACTTCCAGGCCACCTTCGATATGAAATGTTCCTTGGACGGGTTTCCTGACTAGAGGTAGGCCGCTGCTCTTCTCCTAAGTTGGTATCTAAGCTGTTTGGGGGGGCTCCAAATCGTTGCTGCATACCAGAGCATTGAGAAGATTGAGGCGTTCAGGATCATGGCCCTACCCAAGATAGACGTGTACACGTTCGTCCAGCTCCCCATTTTTGTCAGCATCCTATTCATTATTACTGGTGCCATTGCTCGATTAGGGCTGCATTTAGACATCTGGATGCCCAGGAATCTGAGGCGTTCGTTACCCCGGTTCCAGGTCATTCCTTCCCGGGTTCTTTGAGGTGTGTTCAGCTGTGGATCCGTTAGCCACCAACCAACCTGTTGTTTTGGCCCAATTAATTTTCATTTCTGATGCTAGCTGGAATGCTTGCATCGCTCTTGTGAGTGCTTCAAAGGAGGAATCTGAGGCCCATATAAGTACCGTTAGGTCGTCTGCGAAAAGGATTGTAGTGGGCAGGTTGGGGGCGTGTGTTCTGTCCTCTATCAGCCTTTCTATCGACGGGTCTTTTCTCAGGAAGGATGCAATAGCTTCCATGATGAACAGGAAAATAGGGGCGGCTAGGGGGTCTCCATGTCTTACGGAGCGAGTCATGCGATAGGGTTGAGAGATATGCCCATTAACTTCTACTCACCCTAAAGCATCAGAGTAGAGTATCTGGACCCATCTTCTGAAATTTGGTCCTACCCCCATTTTTTCCATGCTTTGTCGGAGGAAATTCTAGTTAACTTGGTCATAAGCTTTTTCGAAGTCAAAAAAGAGGATCGCTGCATTCATTCTTTTGTCTTGTATGTATCTTACGGATTCTGAGAGGGTCACTACGTTGTCTAGGATGAATCTTCCTGGTATGAATCCTGTTTGGTCTAGATGAAAACAAGTCCTTGTTATGGATTTGATTCTATTTGCTAGAAGTTTTGCCAGGATTTTGTGCGTGACCGTGAGGAGCGAGATAGGCCTATAATTCCTGATGTCTGACCGGTCTACCTTCTTGTCTAAGAGGGAGACTACGCCAGTAGTTTGCTTTCCACCTAACGTCCCTCTTGCCCAGGACTTTTCTAGATATTGGAAATATTCATTGCCTAGGACTGGCCAATACGCTACCCAAAATTATTTTGACAATCCGTCTATTCCTGGGGTTTTGTTCGCTTTCATGGATTTCAGTGCTTCAAAGACCTCTTGTTTGCTAATGGGGGCGTCGAGTGCTTCCGCCTACTCCATTGATATTGTCCTATCAAGATGTGCGAGGAATTTCGCTCTGGCTTGGGATGTTTCCTGTTGTGGTTGGTTCTATTCTTTAGAAGTGTACAACTTTTGGAAGAAAGTCGTCCTTGTCGATAGCATTAACTGAGGGTCCGAAGTTGGGCCTTGGTCCGTTTGGAGTTTTTTATAATAGTGTTTCTCGCGTTTGTTTTGATCTTATTGAAGAAAAACTTAGTCATCTTTTCTCCCTCGTCCCACTCCTTTATTAGTGTTTCTCGCGTTTGTTTTGATCTTATTGAAGAAAAACTTAGTCATCTTTTCTCCCT